ATTCTGGCCACAAAATAGAGCGAAACACCAACGTCAAAGACCTGGGAGTGATTATGTCGGAGGATCTCACCTTCAAGGACCATAACATTGTATCAATCACATCTGCTAGAAAAATGACAGGATGGATAATGAGAACCTTCAAAACTAGGGAGGTTAAGCCCATGATGACACTCTTCAGGTCACTTGTTCTATCTAGGCTGGAATATTGCTGCACACTAACAACACCTTTCAAGGCAGGTGAAATTGCCGACCTAGAAAATGTACAGAGAACTTTCACGGCGAGCATAACGGAGATAAAACACCTCAATTACTGGGAGCGCTTGAGGTTCCTAAACCTGTATTCCCTGGGACGCAGGAGGGAGAGATACATGATTATATACACCTGGAAAATCCTAGAGGGACTAGTACCGAACTTGCACACGAAAATCACTCACTACGAAAGCAAAAGACTTGGCAGACGATGCACCATCCCCCCAATGAAAAGCAGGGGTGTCACTAGCACGTTAAGAGACCATACAATAAGTGTCAGGGGCCCGAGACTGTTCAACTGCCTCCCAGCACACATAAGGGGGATTACCAACAGACCCCTGGCAGTCTTCAAGCTGGCACTGGACAAGCACCTAAAGTCAGTTCCGGATCAGCCGGGCTGTGGCTCGTACATTGGTTTGCGTGCAGCCAGCAGCAACAGCCTGGTTGATCAGGCTCTGATCCACCAGGAGGCCTGGTCACAGACCGGGCCGCGGGGGCGTTGACCCCCGGAACTCTCTCCAGGTAAACTCCAGGAGGGTGAATCTCCACACTTGTAATAGAGCCAGAGAGAGGGGAAGAACTAGGCCCAGAGACTGGAAAGGTAAAGTGTGGAGGTGGAAGAAGGGAAGGAAGGGGCAAAGAAGATTTAAGCAATGTGGATTTTTTGGACTTCTGAGAAGTAGAGGGGCGATTGGTATTAGGTGTCATACGAGGTCTTGTCGATACTGGGGCTTGTGAGGAAGGACGCAAAGATGTGAGAACAGACTGAGTTGTAGTCGGGACGTCAGAGCCAATGACAGCAAAAGGATTAGATTCCGGAGTGGCTATGGGAGGGGTAACAACAGAGGAGGCTGCAGAAGATGAGACCCCGGAAGTGGGGGGGATGTTTTGAAACACGAGAATAAGAAACACGGGGTAGTCTCCCTTGGAGGCGGAGATGAGTAACTGCCATAGCATAAGGGAGACCTCCTGCCTCTTTGAGGCAACGGATTTCACGTTCATTTAAGTAGACCTGGCAACGGCGGGAGTACCAAGGGTGAGCTTCATTACAATTAAGGCAAGATGGAGGTTGACTGCAAGATGTATTAGAATGGTGGTCAGCACCACAGACTGGGCATTCGGCCAGATCTGCAATATTTCGCTGGGTGACCAAAACGCCAGCAATTTCTACACTGTTGCAGTGTAAGTATCACCTTTCAAACTTGTAACCGATGTCCCGTGACATATACAGAGGATGGGAGTTCTCGGCTGTCAAAAGTTATTAAACGAGCTACATTGCAAGGGTAACGTCTCCGCCCACGGCAGGAAGGACATAAGTGTCTACTGTGAGGATTGGGAGATTCTGGAGTTCCAGCTGTTCAAGAATGTCATTGCCACATGACTGGAAATTCTGTTGGACTATGGTATGGGGCAGAATGACAGTACCACTACAAGAATTGAGAGAACGATGTTTTTCAATAGTGATAGTAGTAGTACCTCTATGCAAAATGAGAGAAAGATCATGAGCTTGGGTAGCATTCTGGACAGTGACGATGCGCGTACCGCTCGAGAGCATGAAATGAAATATCTCTACAACATGACGCAGGAGCGCTTTGCCAATACTATGGTCAGAAAGGTAGGCAGAAGAAGAAGTCTGTCTTAAAGTAAAGAATTTAGTCCATTGTGTGGTCGGAAACCGAGCGTGGAGAGGGAGTGCATGACGTGTCGGTATTTTCCGAGTAGAACGGGAAGGTAACGAAGGAGTATCATCAGGAGATTGACGTTGGCGTTTAGGAGTAGGACCGGAGTTGGTCCGGCATGAAATGGGCGGGCGATTCGAAAATTGCCGTACCGTAGAGGGAGAAGCCGGAAGCATAGTCAAAGGAGAGCGGAGTTCAGACAAATCGAAGGAGTCAGTCTAAGCCCCGGTAACTGAAGCGGGTGAGGAAACAGCACCAGCAAGAGGTACAGGGGCATCAGGAGTGTCCGAAGAGTGGTCTAAAAACAAGGTAGGGTCAGAATGGGGTGCGGTATCAAGAAGGGGCCCGGGGGTAGTAGGTTCATGGATTGGGTTCTCCATGGTTAGGTTACTCCTTTGCTTTTTGTTTAAGAAAAAGAAAAGAAAAAAAATAAAAAAAAAAAATAAAAAAAGGGGGGAGCGGGGAGGAATAGTTCCCAGGAGGAATGAAAGGGCCGGAATCCCCCCACCCCAGAGGACTCACACCGGGTAGAGCGCAGATGCAGAGGGAACCCGTGCCATACCCTCCCCCTCATGCCAGTAAACCAGCAATCCGGGATAGCAACCTCACAACTGCCGAGCTACCTTGGTGGACAAAAGAGAGGGCGGCCGGATATCCGCCACAAAGCATACCCCCTTCGGCCACCACCCCGGGAAATCCGAAAGGGGCTTCAGGATACACCCGTCCCCCCGGACACCAAAGCTACTCCGGGATATGGAGAGGGATCGGGACATCCCCAGGCGATCCCAGTTTCCACGGCAACTACCCCACCCCCAAGAACCTCACGGAATGGGATGGCCCCCGGTATCCTTTCCCCTACCTAGGAACTAGCAGCCCGTGGGGGAAATCCCCAAAAGGGCCAAAAAGAGGAAGGGGGAAAAGGGGGGGTGGGGGGGAGGGGGAGGAGGAGGAAAAAAAAAAAGGGGGGGATGGGATAGGGGAGGGGGGGATTGGGGGGTAATTAGGTTCGGTTGAGGAGACAGGAGGTCTAATTCCCAGACCAAGGTTCTTCACCAGCCAAGGGGCCCCCACCTTGGAAAGGGCCTCAAAGGGAGTCCAGGGTGGGCGGCTTTAAGGCACCTCCCCCGAGGGGGGGGTTGACAGTAAAAAATTGGGTCCTTTTACCGCACCCCCAAGAGAAATAAACATTTTCATGGGGAAGCGCTAAACTAAAAGGATCATACAGCGCCAAGGAAATGGAAGAATGAGTCTATTTACCCAAATGGAGCCCCATATCCAATTTCTTTGATTAAAAATGCCTTAAATGGAAACTAGGGAGAGGAAAGGGGAAGGAGAGAAGGGGAGGGAAGAAGGGGGGAGAGAGGGAGAGAGGGGGAGGGAGAGGAGAGGGAGGGGAGAGGGGGGGGAGAGAGAGAAAAGAGGGGGGGGGAGAGGGGGAAGGGGGGGGAGAGAGGGGGGGGGGGAAGAGGGGGAGGGGGAGAGAGGGGGGAGAGGGGGAGGGAGAGAGAGGGGGGAGAGAGAGGGGGAGGGAGAGGAGAGGGGGGGGAGAGAGAGAGGGGAGGGGAGAGAGAGAGGGGGAGGGAAGAGAGAGGGGGAGGGGGGAGAGAGAGGGGGAGGGAGAAGAAGGGGGGGGGGAGAGAGAGAGGGGGAGGGAAGAGAGGAGGGGGGGAGAGAGAGGGGGGGGGGAGGGGGGAGGGAGAGGAGGGGGAGGGAGAGAGGGGGGAGGGGGGAGAGAGAGGGGAGGAGAGAGAGAGGGGGAGGGGGGGGAGAGAGGGGGGGGGGAGAGAGAGGGGAGGGGGAGGGGGAGGGAGAGAGGGGGGGGAAGAGGGGGAGGGGGGGGGGGGAGGAGAGAGGGGGAGGGAGAGAGGGGGAGGGAGAGAGGGGGAGGGAAGAGAGAGGGGAGGGGAAGAGAGGAGGAGGAGAGGAGGAGGAGGAGGGAGAGGAGGAGGGAGAGGGAGAGGGGAGGGGGGAGAGGGAGAGGGGGGAGAGGGGAGAGGGGGGGGAGGGGAGGAGGGAGGGAGAGAGGAGGGAGAGGAGGGAGAGAGAGGGGGAGGGAGAGAGACTTCACATTCTGTTCACGGAAAACCCTGGATCAGTCATACCAGCAAGAGGCAAATAATCGAATTACAATGAAAGCTCTGAAGATATCATGCAACGCTGTTACAAGTCATTTGTCAGGCATAAAAAAAAAGGGGGGGGGGGGGTTAGCAACCCTGAACCTGTACAGCACCCAGGATATCATAATCATGAGGGAGTGCTAAACCCATAGGGATTATACAGCACTTATGGGAAAGGGATGTGATGGAAGGTATTCAGGCAACTGGAGCACAGATCCAATTCCCTAGTTCAAGAGCCCCTCACCAGCATCAAGGAACCTTCCCTGAGGGGTAGCACCCAGGACAATGAGAGGCAATCAGGGTCAATCCAAAGAAGGAAAGGACAAATCTAATGTAATTCCTTGGATCAAGAGTCCCCTCACTGGCAGCAAGGAACCTGCCACCAGGTGTCAGCACAAACAAAAGGCAGATTCAATCCAAGGGAGGCTGGCCAATTCCTTGGATAACAGTAAATCAAGGCACCTCCTCTGAAGTTTGTTACAATGTCAGTTCACCTGGGAATGCCTGTAGGGGGGTGGGGGCCTTTAAATAAAAACCCTAGGGTGTCAAACAGCAGTGTTGATAGCCTGGGTGCTGAAAAAACGAGATTCACAAGGAAACGGCAAATCCATCTGTGCCTAAAAATTAGACCATCAGGTTTAATCAAATAATCAATATCAATATAAATTAAGCACTAAATCTGGAAGGGTTATTAATTTGATCAAAGGCATCAATGGTGATCACGCTGGGTTTAGAGCTGCTCGACTGTAGCTCTTGCTACTATAGCTGTATTTCTAGAGGTGGCAAACCAATTTTACGAATGCAATTTCAACACTTTTTACTTAGCCATATTGATTCATGTGCTCTCTACTTCAATTTTTGTTTCATATATACCTTTAAAATTAATAAGAATTAAAAAATTGATATGTGCTGTGGGATAATTGCTGGTTTCACCAATAATGGAGTTGAAAATAAATAAGATTTTGTTATTTTATTAGAAAATTGTTTTAACAGTAAACTGCAAGCTCTTAAAAAGATTCTAAATTCTTTTCTTTATCACTAGCAGCATGCTTATGGGAATGTTTTAAACAAGCACACTTATTTGTGTGGAAACAACTTAGGCAAACCTACTTCCTGTTAATATCAGCATGAAACGGTTGCAAGAGCAATAGTTTAGGCTATATTTTTTAACAATTCCAATTTAACACAGGTATTAACAAATATAGCTTTATTTCATTGTCCAATACAATAGCTGGCTTTACAAATCTTCATCATCCTCTGGCAAAGCAGTCTGGGAAGCTTCTTGGAGATCGTTCTCTATTTGTTGCTGCCATTGGGGGTCCATCTGAACCTCTGGTGGGAGAAGTGCAGGCATAGCAACAAATTCCAGATTGGGATCACCAATCAGCTTTCGTGCAAGCCACAAGAAAGGCTTTTCGAAGTTATAGTTCGACTTTGCAGAGATGTCATAGTACTGTAAAAAGATTTTTTGGAGAGTTAATCTTCAATTATAAGAAAATTCACTAATTATTAAAAATGGCTTTCAGTAAACTATTAACCATAAAAAATCTAACTTCCTAACAAAATTTCATGAGCATTTAAGGCACAAGACTGTGCACACAACATACTTTCCTGGCAATTTCAAGCCAACATCTTCATCTTGATCAAGTGTATATCAATTTATCACTGACTTGGCCACTATCTGCTGGAAATATTCAAATGATTCAAGAAATATAGCTTGGCAACAGCACAGATCTTGTTTGATCTTAGGGTGTGAATTAAAGAAATGTTAATCCACACAGGTTATGCCATGCTTGGTACCAAGTAAAGATGAATATTCAATTACTAGCATTTACATGTTGGAACAATATACTGTATACCACTGTTACAATTTAACGAAGATGAAATCAACTTTAACTAACCTGTAGGTTTTTCTTTCGATGGAAAATGATGGACTTTGCTTTGACCTTGCGATCTTTAACATCAACCTTGTTTCCACACAAGACTATGGGAATATTCTCACACACACGAACAAGATCTCTGTGCCAGTTAGGAACATTTTTGTAAGTGACTCGGGATGTAACATCAAACATAATAATGGCACAGTGAGCTTGGATGTAGTAACCATCACGAAGGCCACCTAATTTCTCTTGACCTGCAGTATCCCAAACATTGAATCTGTAAAGAATATATACTATTTTTTCATCAGGTTTCTAAATTAAATTCTTAATATTTAATAAAAGGCAAGTTCTCCATTACTTGTTAGTTCAACTCTTTCTCCAATATTTGCCCACATTTAAAGGGAAGTTCTCCCCCCACAGTCGCCCCTAGACACTTCCTGTCCCAGGTTCAAAGAGGGGAACAAAAATTTTTTTTTTTTAGGTGGTGAAGCAACCCCCCAGGGAAAAAATTCCGCCCTCCAGACTGTGAAAAAGAAACTGTAACTGTTTTGATAATGGTAGGATTGCTGGTTTTTTTTCTGTCTCAAAACACACTGATAACAGGGATTCTTGTTTCCCTACTTACATTTGGTGACACTTCACAGACACCACACACACACTATACACACAGGACCATGGGGTTTTTAAAGCTTCAAATACCAGTAGAGTACAAGGGGAGGGGGAAAAAGCAGGAAGGCCAGGACAAAATGAAGCCAAATACAAAAAAGGGGGGCTACACAGGAATGAGGAACTTCTGAAGGGGGGTTTCAGTGGGCGGGAAAAAGGGCAGGGAACGTTAATGGATGGGGAAATAGTAGCAAAAAAATGCAAGGAGGCGGGAGAGGTTTGTACCCAAGGGTAACAGGAAATGAGAAAACAGGATGAGCCCAGGTTTGCCCCAAAAGGGGCGAGAGGCAAAAACCAAATGCTGGGAATGGGAAATTTTAGAAGGCAAGACCCAGGAGAATAAGGAGAGCAGTGTAGAGCCAGAAACGAAAATGCCAGTAAAAAGGGAGGCCAAAGACAATATGAATGCCCCTAGCAGCGAAAACCAAATTGACCCGAAACTCTTGTACAGCCATCAGGAGGAAAAAAAAGTCAAGGCCCCGGTAATCAGGCTAAGGAAGGAAAGGGGATACAAAGAAATGACGTGAAATAAGTGAGGAAATCACAAAAGATTCAAAGAAATGTTCACAGAGCGAAGGGGGTCCAGAAAGAGGAGGGGGTGGGGAACCACCAGGGGTGGACACAGTGCACAAACCTAGGAAGAAAGTGAAGAGGCTTTTGAGCAAATAGATACCCCAAAGGCAATGGGGCCAGATAACATCTCCCTGGGGATTGAGGAAGGGAGAGGCGCTATGTGTACCCTAACAAAAATTTCAATACTTATCGAAAAGGGAGATTTCCCCAGGCATGGAAGACGCAAATGTAGTTTCCAATCTTTAAAAAAGGGGACAGACATGAAGCATAAACTAAGACCCGTGTCATGAATTATAGTATGCAAAATCATGGAGAAAATTATCACGAGAAGGGGTGGAACACCTAGAAAAGAAGATTATCAACGCAGCCAACAGGTTTCAGGGGGGAAGGGGAAACCGGGTACAAACCTACTGAAGTTCTTGGGCATGGTGACACAGTAAGACGAAAAGAGGGGGGGGTGGATTGCATATTCTTGGACTGCAAAAAGGGGTTTGAAACCGTTCCACACAAGAGTTGGTGCAAAAAATGGAGGACCAAGCAGGGTAACAGGTAAAGGGACTTCAATGGATCGGAATTTTGTCAGGAAGACAGCAGCGGTCTGGTACTGGCGAGGGAGGGAGAGAGGAGGGAGAGGAGTGAGAGAGAGGGGGAGGGAGATGAGACTTCACATTCTGTTCACGGAAAACCCTGGACCGTCAAACAGCAAGAGGCAAATTTAAAAAATTTTCCGAATTAAACAATGAAAGCTCTGAAGATATATGCAACGCTGTTACAAGTCCTTTGTCAGGCATAAAAAAAAAGGGGGGGGGTGTTAGCAACCCTGAACCTGTACCAGCACCCAGGATATCATAATCATGAGGGAGTGCAAAACCATCTGGATTATACGCACTAATGGAAAGGGATGTGATGAAGTATCAGCCCCTGGAGCACAGATCCAATTCCCTAGTTCAAGAGCCCCTCACAGCATCAAGGAACCTCCCCTGAGGGGTAGCACCCAGGACAATGAGAGCAATCAGGTCCAATCCAAAAAGGAAAGGACAAATCTAATTTTAAAATCCTTGGATCAAGAGTCCCCACACTGGCAGCAAGGAACCTGCCACCAGGAGTCGCACAAACAAAAGGCAGATTACCAATCCAAGGGAGGCTGGCCAATTCCAGGATAACAGTAAATCAAGCACCTCCTCCGAAGTTTGTTACAATGTCATTCACCTGAGGAAATGCCTGTAGGGGGGTGGGGGCCATAACATAAAAACCCTAGGTTTGTCAAACAGTAATGTTGATAGCCCCCCCTGGGTGCTGGAAAAAACGAGATTCACAGATGAAACGGCAAATCCATCTGGAGCCTAACAAATTAGAACATCGGTTTAATCAAATACTCAATATCAATATAAATTAAAGCACTAAATCTGAAGGGTTATTAATTTTGATCAAGGCATCAATGGTGATCCCGCTGGGTTTAGAGCTGCTCGACTGTAAGCTCTTGCTACTATAGCTGTATTTCTAGAGGTGGCAAACCAATTTTAACGAAGTGCAATTATCAACACTTTTTTACTAGCCATAAAGATTCATGTGATCTCTACATCAATTTTTAGTTATCAAATATACCTTTAAAAATAATAAGAAATAAAACATTGATACGTGCTGTGGGTATTGCTGGTTCACCAATAAAGGAGTTGAAAATTAAATAAGAAATTGTTATTTTATTAGAAAATTGTTTAAACATTAACTGCAAGCCTTAACAAAGATTCTACATTCATTTCCTTTATCACAAGCATCATGCTATGGGAATGTTTTAAAAACAAGCACACTTATTTTTGTAACAACTTAGGCAAACCAACTTCCTGTTTAAACTCAAGCATGAAACGGTTGCAAGAGCAATAGTTAAGTGCTATAATTTTTAACAATACGCAATATAACACAGGTATTAACAAATAAAGCTTTTATATTGCATTGTCCAATACAATAGCTGCTTTACAAATCTTCAACATCCACTGGCAAAGCATCTGGGAAGCTTCTTGGAGATCGTTCTCTATTTGATTGCTGCCATTTGGGGGGACCATCTGACCTCTGAGGAGAAGTGCAGGTCATAGCAACAATTCCAGATTGGGATCACCAATCAGCTTTCGTGCAAGCCACAAGAAAGGCTATTCGAAGTTATAGGTTCGACTTTGCAGAGAGTCTAGTACTGAAAAAATATTATTGGAGAGTGAAATTCAATTATAAGAAAATTCACTAATTAATTAAAAATGGCTTTCAGTAAACTATTAACCATAAAAAATCAAACTTCCTAACAAAATTTCATGAGCATTTAAGCACACAAACTGTGCACACAACATACTTTCCTGGCAATTTCAAGCCACACTTCATCTGATCAAGTGTCATATCAATATACACTGGACTTGGCCACTAATCTGCTGGAAAATTCAAAGATTTCAAAAATATACTTGGCAACAGCACAGAACTTGTTCGATCTTAGGGTGTGAAATAAAGAAATGTTAATCCACACAGGTTACCATGCTTGTAACCAAGTAAAGATGAATATTACAATTACAAGCATATACATAGTAGGAACAATATAACTGTATACCACGTTTACAAATTTACGAAGATGAAATCAACTATAACCTACATGTAGGTTTTTCTTTCAAGGAAAAATGATGACTTTGCCTTGACCTGCGATCATTAACATCACCTGGTTTCCACACAAGACTATGGGAATATACTCACACACACGAACAAGATCTCGTGCATTTAGGAACATTTTTGGTAAGTGACTCGGGATGTAACAACAAACATAATAAGGCACAGTGAGCTTGGCTGTATAACCATCACGAATGCCACCTATTTCTCTTGACTCTGCAGTAATCCCAAACAATGAATCTGTACAGAAAATAACAAATTATCATCAAGTTTCTAAAATAAATTCTTAATATTTAATAAAAGTGCAAGTTCACCATAACTAAGTATAGTTACCAACTCATTCTCCAACATTTAGTCCACAACTTAAGGGAGTCCTCTCCGACCACAGTCCGACCCTAGCACACTTCCTGACCTACATGGTTCACAGAGGTAACCAAAAAATTTTTATTTTTAGGTTGGTAGACAGCAACCACCCAGGGAATTACTACCGTCCCTGTCCAGACTGTGAACAGAACCTGAACTGTTTTTATAATGGTATGATTTGCAGGTTTTCTTTTTCCTTCATACAAACACACAGAATAACATGGGATATCTTGCTACTCCTACTTACACTGGTGACACTCACAGACACACACACACACACATATACACACAGTGACCATGTTGGTTTTTAAGCTTCGAATACACAGTAGAGCTACAAGTGCGGGAGAAGCAGGAAGCCAGACGAATGAACCAAACTACAAGAAAGGGGACAACACAGAAAGAGGACCTTCCAGAATGGTTCAGTAGACAGATAATGGCCGGAAGCCCGAAAACTGAGTAATACAGTAAAAATAGCAACACAAATGCAAGTAGGCCGAGGAGATGATTTTAACCCTAAGGGAAACAGGATAATGAGAAAGCCATAGAGCCCATGGTTATTTGCCCAAAGGTGCAGAGAGGCAAAAACCAAGTGCTAGGGAAAGAAGAATAAGAAGGCAAAAGACCCCAGGAGAATAAGGAGAGTCATCGTAGAGCCAGAAACGAAAAAGCACAGAAAGAAGGGAGGGCCGAAAGGGGGGGGGGGGGGGGGGGGGGGGGGGGGGGGGGGGTGGGGGGGGGGGGGGGGGGGGGGGGGGGGGAAAAAAAAAAAAAAAAACAAAGACAATATGAATGAACATAGCAGCGTAAAGCCAAATCTGACCCCGAAACCTTGTACACCACATCAGGAGTAAAACACAGTCAAGGACGTAATCAGGCTAAGGTAGGAAGTAGGAGATCAACAAGAAATGACCGTGAAGTATGTGCAGAACTCAACAAGAGATTCAAGAAAGTGATCACAGATACAGAAGGGGCGCCAGAAAGACGAGAGGGTTGGCACACCAACATGTGCTGGACACAGTGCACACAAACATAGGT